CGGGTGTAGGTGGCATCAATCAGTAGGTTTGTAGCCTGGATGGAATATAGAGGGATTGAAGAAAGGCAGGTTTAATTTGGCTGCCTGTTGTTTGCTGCCTTCTGCCTGTAATCCCATGAACTGTTTCTTCTCTGTGATGCCTCTCTGTCACGCCACCATCCTGTAGAGTCAGTAACTATGGACTGAAACCTCTACAAAGTGTGAGCCAAATAACCCTTTCCTCCTTGAACTTGTGTCAGGTATTTTGTCTTAGCAATGAGAAAGTTAATTAAGACACTACTAGTTACACAGTCTCAAGCATTCTGTTATACCAGCCTAAACAGGCAGAAGAGAATGGGACAATTAGAAAAGGCCTATTTCATTCTTTAAATTTCATTCTTAAGGTTTTCCTAATTTTTTGTTTACCATCTCACCTTCCTAAAACTCAACTCTCCTTTGCTAATAATACTTTCCTGCTTTCTTTAGCAAAGAATGACACCTCAATTTCCTCCTGTCTCATTGAAAGCAGGAAACAACCCCTTCCAATGTCACATTGTTCTTCATGTTAATTGCTCTTTCTATCTCTGGTTTCTAAACTCTGTGACTTTCTCAACACTTCTGGCTCAAGCTTCTACCCTAGGGGCTGGAGCTTTAGCTCAGGGGCAAAAGCGCCTGCCTGGCAAGTGCAAGGTCGTGAGTTTGATCCCTGGTACCAGAAGGAAAATAAAAATAAACAAGTTTCTCTCTAGTCTCTCTTCATATTTCTTTCCTTTTGAATTTTTTCATTTTATTTAACTTTTGAAATGGCTTTACATCTCCTTCATGAACTCTGTTTTACAGCATTTTCCCCAGATTTTATTTAAGTGCTTATGGTACTTGACTCATCTTAGATGATTTGAAAGCAGCTTCCTCCACGTCTTCTTTGCTAATTTGGTGTTCTTGAGAAGACTTCTTTAGTCTTCCCTGTATTCCTGTTCCTCACTCTCAGACAGTATTGAGAGAATAATTCAACCTTCCAAAAACCTGTGCTATCAACTTTCATTTCTGTTCATTTGTCTTTTAAAAATGTCTTGTAATTTTTATATTTTGCATTTTGTTATTTTATCTGCTTCTCAAATTGACACTTAAAAGGTAAAGTCCTATGATATTTTAACAAGAAAGGTTATTACTAAAAATAATCACGAGATTCAGGCCAGGGATGTAGCCCAGTGGCATAAGCACCTGCCTGGTAAGTTTGAGGTCCTGAGTTAGATTCATGGTACCAAAAAAAGAAAAAAATGACCACGAGATTCAACAAAAAAAAGTGATGTATTAGCTTTAAGTGTTGATTTTTGAAGTAGAAGAATATTCTGGGGGTAATGTCATTATATAGTGTCACATCTTGTAGTTAGAAATTTAATCTGTTCCCTGAGCCTTGATCCTCTCATAATACAAATAGAAATTCTCCATTTATCTTTCCAAAAAAGTATTTTGAAAGTTATTTTGGCCACAGAAAAATAGACTTATTTCCCTAAATTTTAAGTATAGGTTCACCCTCAAACATTTAAGACTCAGCTAAAAAAAATCTGTCATTTGAACAAAAATCACTACTAACTGAGTGAAGATTAGGGCTGAGATCATAACACCTGAGAGTCTGGAGCAAAAAAAAATCCATGCAACCCATAATGTTGATGTCAACAGACTCGGAGGAATGGGGCAGAAGGGACAGTAGGGTATAGGAAAGTACCCATGAGACAGATGAGATGCCACAGGACTCAGAGTTTGGCCCTGGTTTTGCTGGACTTGGAATTGAGAAGCCACTTCATCATCAGGGGGCTCTATTTTGTTTTTAATGAAATGAGGTTACTGAGGCTTATAACTGCTAAGCTTCTTTGTTTCAGTAACTTTACATATAATTTTAATGACTCCTTACAACACTCTGCAACCCAATTGTTTAATTGTTATTATTATAATTTATTATTATTACTGGTACTGCTGAGGATCATACCCAGGGCCTCACACATTCTGGGCAAGTACTCTATCACAATTGAGCTAAATCCCTAGTCCTGTTAGTTATATTTAACACCTCCATTTGAGAGACAATAAAACTGTCAATTTAGAAAATTCAGAGTGACCAAAGTGACTATTCCAGAATGTAAGGATGCAGAATGTCAGTCCCTTTCTGCACCCAGAAATCCTATACTCACTCCATTGCACCAAATTTAGGCAATGTGGGAGAGAGACTAGTTATGACTTGACCACACTAGTTATGACTTGTTGGGGTCACATGGGACAGAGATGGAATTCATTTGTCACTAAGTGACATCTAATTAATGAGCTCAGTGGAAATCTGTCTTGTTTTCTACAATTCATATGCCCTGCTATCCAGTGAAGCTGAGCCCTAGTTGTTTGCATGGACTTTCTCAGTTCTCACTCATGGCCATATAGACTGGAGAATAATTAGCAATGACTCAAACAGGCAAATCAGTATTTCTCCCAGAAGTTTAATGTGTGGTTTTTCTTTCTCTGAATTTTCAAGTTGTATTGATATTGTAGGCTTAATATGTCAACAGTCACTTTGCCATCATAGATGAGGATTTTTGAGAAGGATAAAAACCACATCAAGAGAGAGAAAGAGCCAGAATGGAAAAAACAGTTTGAACTTTTGGGCCTGAATTAGATCCCTTTCCAAATTCTCTATTTCTTTATTTTGTTCCTTCTAGGATCAATTTGAATTGGCTTTCTGTCATGTATAATAAGAATTCTGATGAATGTGAGTCAGGGGCCTAAAATTCAGAATTGCTTAGAATGGTATGAGATTATGGACAATGAGCACTTCTCAACCTTCAGCTGAGAACTGGCAACTCCTACTCTACTGGTACTGCATCTGGTTATAGTATCACTTTGAGACTCAACCAGTGGGCCTAGTAAACTTGGAGTTTCAGAGTATTAGTAGGAAAACAGTGGGTTTGTGCGCCATTTTTGCTGCCTTTATTCAGGTCCTGTTAGAGAGACAGATGTGTCTGTTTCTCCTGGACTTTTAAAATGAGAGACAAGATTATGTTGTGCTAAGGTGGGTTCTTTTACTTTTGATTAAAATTGAAGATGATAATCTGAGCTTTGCAGAAATAAAACAGTCATTGCTACCCAAGGTAGGAAGGTAGGAAACTGAGTGGTAGAAGTTGCAGAACGTACTTAGCCTGCAATGTTTTGAGGTGGGGAGGAACTGTCCAGAATACCTGAGGCCCTGCTCCTGGCCCTCTTAGCACAGGCCGTCTTACAGTGGTTTAGCTCAGCATGGCCTGTGTGCTCTGGGATGTAAAATCCAGAGTAGACTGCTTTTGGAGTCTCAGCTTTGAGTGCAATGGGGTTGCACAAACAAATCTTCATCTGCCCTGGGCAGCTTTTCTGAATCTTTTAGGACTAAAAGGTCTTGGGAGACCAGGTTGTTTTGAATTCTAGGCTTCTGTTGGCCCTTGATTGTCTGCCTATGAGTCATACAGTTGTCTCATTTAGCTTGGGTGAATGCTCTTTCTCTCCAGACTTGTGAAAGTTGTAGCAATTTAAGCCCAAGATGCAGCAAGTCATAGTAATGGCGTATCCAAGGCACAGTCTGCTAGCACACAGTGCATTTGACTTTGCATTTAGACCTGGGGAGAACAATAGTCCTCAAGGCCTCCCAGTTGGCAATATTTAGGCCATAGTTGTCCTGACCAACACCACCTGGTGGGTCGCAAACAAGGTGCCAGAAACACTTTATCTGTGTTTCTGTAGTTTTGTGTTATTTTGAGCCAGTGAGTGATCAAGATGGAAGGTAAACTGAGGAGTTAGTAGATAAGCAGAAGAAGGAGGCTGTGTTCTAAGAGGAGAAACCTACAGGCTGAGCATTAGATAAAGGAAACTTGACACTACACGATTTCTAGATTTAATTACTCACTTATGGATTTGCCTGAGTGTGAATTTACTGAAATCTTAACAAACTAAAGGCATACTACGAGAAACTAGTTGTGAAACCTTCAAACCCACATCTCCATGAAATGGGATACAAAAGAAGAATCTTCCCCAAAGTGATGGACTTAATTGTGACCACACAGTGGAATGCTCCCAGAAAATAAAGCAAGCCAGGGGCATGGGTCACCTAAGGTAACTCTGGCCACTACAGAAAAGAGGCCTCGTTCTTCCTGGTCAGCTGGATCTTAGTCAACTCCTGAGCAAGTGGCCAACTTTGTGTGTTAATCCCTCAAATTTTAAAGCAGTTACCACTTTGCAGTATGCATATAGGGTGCTACATTAACAATGTACTTATAGACTGAGATAGGGTGGGGGAGAATCGGATTTGAACTAGAGGAAAGGATAACATCTAGATACCCTGTGCTTGGAGCTGGCTCCAAAAATCTGAGTACTTTTTAGATTATCTCTCTGGGAGCCAAGGAGCAGAAAGCAAGTATATTTTTTGTTAGATAGACTGCGTTGTTTCCCACATGAACATTTTTATGACTGCTTGAGCAGGAAGAAGGTGGTGTCCAGATGCTGGGAAGCTAAAATATAGAGCACAGTTAAGGCACTATGTGCTGATTTGATAGAAAGAGTTTAAACTATCATTGTAAAAAAATAGAACATGGTGTAAGTGCAGCTACATTGGATTAAGAATCAAGAAACTTGGAAGAGGGGTGTGGTGGTGCATGCCTGTAATACCAGCACTTGGGAGGCTGAAGCCGGGGGATTGCCCTAATTTCAAAGCCAGGTTGGGCTACTCAGTGCAGTCAAAGTCAGCCTGAACTACAGAGTTAGGCCCTCTCCCTCTCTCTCAAAACAAAAAATAAATAAATAAAAATAAAATAAATCAAGAAACTTGAGATCCAGGTACAAATTTGCTAATATAATCTTTGTGGATGCTTGTCAGGCACGTCAGTACATGTTAATCGATGGAACCAAGGCCATAGCGTTCTGTGGTGCTAAGGGATGAATAAGCTCCATGCATGCAGGTGTCAGCTCATGATCACAGAGGGGCAGAGCCCTAAGCTTTAGGCATCTGAACTCACCTTAAAGCCCATGGGTATTTCAATGATGTAAAGGTCCACATAATCCAGCTTGAGCTGCTGGAGTGTCCTCTCCAGGGTGGGGCGGACCAATTCTGGGAATAAGTCTGTAGCCCACAGCTGAAAGAATCACAAGAGAGGTTAACTAATTTTTGCACTATTTTTACATTGATGCAGCCCTTTACTCTTCATAAAGAGCACTTTCCATTTCACAGAAATTTGTGTATACTGCAGTGTCATCTAAGTATAAGACGAGTTGATGGCTCCGGGGCACCAAGTCTGATTTATTTGAACATATCAAATGAAATGTGAAGATCTATCTGGATACGGAAAACCTGATTTGATAACAAAGTTTTCCTGCAACCACAGTAATTTCCTAATTGATCATTTTGCACTTCTGCTTTTCTCGTTTGTGTAACCAGAGAACATGTCTACAGTAAAAGTTGCTGACTCTGTTTTGAATTTCATTTTCATGCCACTCTGATAGAATTTGAATGAGCAGGAGAAATGGTCATTTGTGTGGCCTCAGTGAATCCTTTGCCTACCAAGAGGCAGTGTAGTGACCTGGTGAAATCTTACTGCACAGATGTAGATCCCCCTTCATTGCCCTTTTGTCCTCATTTTGTCTTATTCGGTCCTCAAAGCAATTCTGCTAATGCCTACTAGGAATTTACTGATGTTCAAAAAGGTTGTGGAGCAACAGACTAAGGCTTGGTCCATCATACTGCAGCATGTGTACTCTAGGTTTGTAAAACAGAGTGGCAGGTGGTACTCTGACCCACAGGATGAACTAGTACATTTTACAGCATTGATTTTGCTCAAAGATTTTTTTCGAGAAAAAAAGTTTTGAGATTTTGTACCTTTTTTTTTTTTTCAGGAAAAAGAAAAGCAAAACTGGTGAAATATAATTTTTTCTTTTGTTGGATAGTGTTTTTTTTTTTGCAGAGAAAATAGTGGAAAATATGTTGTAGCTATTATTTGGTGCTTTTGCTGCCAACCTATCCAAGTGAAAATTCTGGTATCTCTCTCTCTCTCTGTCTCTCTGTCTCTGTCTCTGTCTCTGTCTCTGTCTCTGTCTCTGTCTCTCTCTCTCTCTCTCTCTCTCTCTCTCTATATATATATATATATATATATGGGACAATTGAACCTAAGGGTGCTATATCATGAAACTGCATCCTCTATCCTTTTTATGTTTTTATTTTGAGACATGTTCTTGCTAAGTTGCCCAAGCTCTCCATGAAATTATATCCTCCTGCCTCAGGCTCCCAATTAACTGAGATTACAGGGTTGTGTTATCACTCATGGCTTTTTTTATATTTTAGTTTACTTGTATTCAACAAATACATATAGTATTAGCTTTGTTCCAGGTACCATTTAGGTGCTTTGTAAAAGTTAACAGTGAAACAGCTGACACTATTATAAAATGGCTGACAATATTATCCTCATTTTACAGAGAAGGAAACAGGCACAGAAATGCTAAGTAATTGACAGCTAGCAATGATGGATTTGGGACATACAGCTAATACTTGTATATTTTACTTTGCATTATGGAGTGTGGAGCAACAAGTTCTGACCTGTGTAATCTAGCACTGACATTTGTACGCTTCACCACTATGTAAGTTATTTTTCTCATTGCTGAGGCAAAATACCCAAACCCAAAGTTAAAGGAGGATGTGCTTACTTGGCTCACAGTTTGTACAGGTTTTAGTCCATAATCAGTTGGCTCCAAGGCAGGATGAATGGCAGACAGGTATCACAGAGGAGAAACAGTTCATGGTGGGCAGAAGGTAGCAAAGCAAGCAAGGGACTTCAGCAGCTTCTTTCTGTCCCTTTTATACTTTATCTAGGCTACAGGGACTAGGGCAGTATCAAATCAATCAGCAGACTGATTTAGTAATTGCACACCCTTAGTCCTAGCACACACACTCTAGATCCAGCCACCTCTGAAAAAGCCCCACTTATGACTGCATGAGGTTTTGAGGTACATCAAGACACAAACCATAACGTTTCACCCTTGACCCCCTTCAAAGACTCCTGTATATTCCTTTATGCAAAAGGTAGTTAGTCCATCTCTAAGAGTTGCCAAAATTCTAACAGTTTCAGCATTGTTGAAAAGTCCAAGTCCAAAGTCTCCTGGGATTTAAGGCAAACTCTTAGCTGTGACCCCCCTGTACAAATGAAAAAGAAGTTAAACACTTCCAACATACAATGGTACAGGATAAACATTACCATTCCAAAAGGTACAAACAGGGAGATATGAAGGAATGAGATCAAAGTGAATCCTACATCCACCAGGGTAAACATTAAGTCCTGTAGCTCCATGTGCAGTATCTGAGGCAATCTGTGGCAAGATATGAAATCCAAAGTCTTGGGAGGCTATGCCTGTACAGCACTTCCAATGGTTGAAGCTCCCATGAATTCTCTCTTGGGCTGGCTCTGTCCTTGCTTGCAGCTTTCCTTAAATGATCCACTTTTCTCTCTTCTCCAAACTTCTGGGACTCTGCTCACATTCAGCTTTGCACACTGTCCGCTCAGGGGCACACCACCTGGAATCTAAGTGGAAGCCTTCTTGACTTCACACCTCTTACAGTTTGCACGCACCTAAAACCAGCATCATGTAGATGATGCCAAGGTCTGCAACCAGCTTGAGCAATAGCCAGGCTTCATTCTCTCTTTGCTGTATGGGTCAAGTGCCTATCAACCAAATCCCAAGGAGCAACTTCCCTAGGCCTCCACCATTCTGGAACATGGTGTTCTAGGGCTCTCTTCTCAAAGCAAGGTCTTTCACCTTTCCAACTCTGAGACTACAATCATGAAGTCCTGCTGTTTTTTGTGATGTCCTCACACCATCTTTTCTGTTGTCTTTTTCTGAAATACTTGGTTTTTTCTTTCTAGTCCTTTCAGAAACCAATTTCTCTTCTGTTTTATCTTTGCAGGCTGCAACTTTACTGGAGCTTCCATTCCGGCCAAACTCAAAGTGTTTAAATCATTCAGCTGGGCTCTTTGCTCTTGATTTTCAACACAGATCTGGCCAAAAGACCCCAACAGTAGCCATGCTACCACCTCAACATTAACATGTCTTGAAATTTTTTCTGCATCAAATTCTGTCTTAGTTACTTTTCTCATACCTGAGACAAAGTACCCAAACCAAAAGTTAAAGGAAGATGTGTTCATTTGGCTCACAGTTTGTAGAGTTTTCAGTCTATAATGGGCTAGCTCTGAGGTAGGGTAAATGGCAGATATGCATGGCAGAGGAGAAACAGTTTGTGGTGGGCAGAAGGTAACAGAGCAAGCAAGGGAGCTGAACAGTTTGTTTCTGCCCCTTTTCTACTCTAGCTAGGCTACTGGGATTAGGGCAGTGCCAAACCAGTGAACTTTTTAGTGATCACAGACTCCTAATCTCGACATCACATACTCTAGATCCAGCTACTTCTGAAAAAGTCCCACTTTTTGAGTGGGACTAAATGAGGCTCTGCAGAGAATATCTAGATGCAAGTGGTAAGAACCACTACATCACCCCACCTTCCAGGCAGAAGATGAGTGGTAATGAAAATCAGCCTTACTAAGGCAACAGGCAATAGCTGTTGTACTACATTGTTCAGGGAATAATAATAAGAAATGTCTGTACACATTCAGTATGATACATTTTTTCCTTATTGATTCCTATTCATGATTTGTTGAATCCACAAATTCAGAACCATAGATATAAGGGGCCAACAGTACTCATGAGAGTACAGTTTCATACACACACCCAAATGAAAGATGAGTGATAAAATGAATACCTGACAACTTTCCCCATTCAGGAAGTCAAGAGAGAACTTTATCTGGCCAAAAAATTCATGATGAACCATTACCTCATGTGCAGCATGTACTATCCTGAAATGTGTGTTTGTCTTTGCTTTACTTGGTTTTCCAGTTTGCACTATAAATGTAATGCTAAGTAATAATATTTAATTTTGTATGTGTTGGATGTAATATAAGTGGAATCCTACTGATGACTTATTTTTTCTCTATCAGGTTGTCAAAATTCATCCCACATTGATACTTTCACTTTTTATTTTTTATTCTTGGTCTTTTTGAGACAGAGTCTTGCTATGCAGTCCAGGTTGGCCTTGAGCTCACTTTGTAGCCCAAGTTGGCCTCAAACTTGCTGCAATCCTCCTGCTTCAGCCTCCCAAGTGCTGAGATTACAGGCATGTGCCACTATGTCCAGCTCCCCACATTGATACTTTTAGCTGTACTTCATTCATCATTACTTATAGTCTGTGTTTGAATATATCAGGATCCGTCTGTCTATTTTGTTGGTGGACCTTTGGATTGTTTCTGGATTTCAGCTATTATAATCAGTGGAGTTTTGGACATCTTTATAAGTGATATTGGCCATGTAATAGTTCTCTGAAATATATATTAATTGTTTATAGGAAATGCACGTTTGCAGCTTGATATAGATAAAGCTTGGAAACATTATACTAAGTGACAGAAGTTAGATATAAAAGGTCACATATTGTCTATGATTGCATTTGTAAGAAATGTCCAGAATAAGACAACTATAGAGAGAGTGGTTTTTCAGAGACTGAGCAAGAGAAAAAAGTAAGAAGTGACTGCTAATGGGTGTGAGTGCTCTTTTTAGAATGATAAAACTGTTTTGGAATTAGGTAAAATCTGAATTTAAGTGGTGACTTCATGGTAAGTGAGTTATATCTCAATTTCAAAAATAATAATATGCAAACAAATACAAAAGGTAAAGAGGGCTGCTCTTTAAAAAATAGTTTGCAAATGTTTATGCATTATGATGACCTCCACACTTCCCAACACTACCTGTTTTCTGCATTGTTGATTTGACTTTGCCAGTATTAAGTTGTTTGAAATCAATGCCCATGTATGGTGGGTCCCTCTCTTAACCTTTAGGGGACCTAAGTTTTTAGCAAGGCAGAATCTGGCAATTGAGAAGAAAGAGGGAGAGGCCTCCTCCTCCTCTCAGTGAGCCCAACATTATTTAGTAGTGAGAAGTGGCACCATTAATGTAAGAAGATAGAGGTAGCAGTGAGATCTCACCTTCCCACAGTAGAAAATATCCTCCCTCTTCACCTTTCCTTCTGCTATCTTCTCTCTGATGGCCTGCCCTACTTCGTGCTCATTACGGTAGAGGTAGGCCCCATCAAAATGTCTATACCCCACGTCAATGGCTGTTTTCACTGATGCCAAACAGGTTTCCAGAGATTTCTGAAATGACAAGGAAGTTGAGATAGAGATTAAGAGAAATGAGTCTTCAGTTTGATCATCATTAATCAGGACCTTTTGTAACACATTGTTTATAGTTTTCCAGTTTTAGGAGTGTGATTTGATCAACTTTCCCAGGGAGGGAAGATTTCGTGTAAAGCTTTCAGGAGGGCACAAATGAACTGAAGAAGGTTAAATTATAAATAAAATATTTGATTGAAAAACTAAGATATAGCCCTAGAATAAAATATTACTCAGTAACAAAAGGAATAAACTACTGATACATATGACATAGATGACTCTCGAAATAATTGTACTGGGTAAGAGAAGCTAGATAAAAAAGAATAAATACTTTATGATTTTATATAAAATAAATGCTAGAAAATGAAAACTAGCCTACATATGGTGACAAATGCAGATCAGTGATTTATGGGGGAAGGTTAATATGTGGGAAAATTGCAAAATGATATGAAGAAAGTTTTGAAGTTGATGGACATGTTCATTATCTCAATTGTGGTAATGGTTTTACAAGTATATATCTCTCCAGTGTCAAATAATATATTTTTAAAATATGCAGTTTATTACATGTCAAATATATCTCAATATATCTGAGGAGGAAAGATTATTGGGGGTTACACTAGGTTGTTCAAGATATATTTTAGCCAAATCTTCATTCATTCTATCAATCTGAATTAAGCTCAAGAATGAGGATATCCTGTCTCCTCAATGTAGATTGACAAAATAAATAACCTGGCAGATTATTAACAGTTGAGGTATACATGATTCATTTGCCATGATCTGAACATGTTCTCTCAAAAGCTCCTACTGAAATTTAATACTAGTGCAACAGTGCTGGGAGACAGGGCCTAATGGGAAGCGCATAGTCCACTTAATGTTGCTAAACAAAGGGCTTGCAGCAATGGATTAATCCTATTCTTGCAATTTTGCATGTGATAAATCCTCCCCTCTAAAGAATGTAGCACTCAAGGCACCATCTTGGAGGCAAACTATCCTAAGTTGTTGCATCTTAATCTTGGACTTTCAAGTTTTCAGAAACTTGAGAGAGTAAATTTCTATTCTTGACAAATTACTTAGTCATAGTACAGTTGTCCCTTGCTATACAAAAGAAATTGGTTTCCGTATGACAACAAATTTCATGCATGCTCTGAAGTCCCATATATAAAATGGCATAGTATTTGCATATGATCTGCGCAAATCCATGTACTTTAAATTATCTCTAGATTACTGTACTTATAAATAGAATACAACATAAGCATTGATAAATAGTTATTATACTGTATTATTTGGAAAATAATTACGTTTAAAAAGTCTATATATGATCAGGGCAGACACAATTTCCCCTCAATATTTTCTACCCTTGGTTGAATCTTCAGTGAAAAAACTCATAGATATGGAGGGCCTGTCATGCTACTGAGCTCTGCAGAGACAGCATCTATTCAAGGGACATTCTATGATCCTGTGGTCAGAGATAACCATCATGGTCTGGGCTATGTCAGAACCAATAAGACATAAGTCTGAGTGGGCCAGTGGAAATATGTTCTGAAAGGTACTTGGACACTTGTGATTGGACAAAAGCTGGAGTAGACACTGTGTCATCCAGAGGTCACTCAATACTGTTGCATCAATGTCACCCTGTCAGTCAATTCCTTGGGCTACATGGAATGGGGGAGGGCTGAATCATGGACATAAATAGATCTGTTTGATATGTGACCACAAGGCAAAAATATCTTTCTGCACCTTTCCTTTAGTGCTTAGTTTTGGGGTGGACAAAGAATAAAGAATTGAGTGCACTATGACAGGTGCAAGAATGCTCATGACAATTCTGTCTATAAACTCCAATAGAATAAGCAAAGCAAATGTCCACCAACAATAAAATGGACACAGATATACCCATATGGTTAAATATGGCTGAACATATTATTAATAGCATGGGTGAATCTTAGAACATAACAGAAAAAAAGAAGCGTGGTAAAATTACTGCACATATATACTATCTTCCCATTCAAATCAAGTTTAAAAACTGGCAATATTAAACTATATTATTAAAATTCATGCTTAAATTGTGCAAATGATAGAAAAGAGTAAGAAAGTAATTACCATAAAATTAGAAAAGCAATTATGTCCTGAAGGAGAACAGAATATGTTTTGTTTTGTTTTGCTTTTCTTCCAGTACCAGGAATTGAACTCATGACCTTGTGCTTGCCAGGCAGGCGCTTTGCCACTGAGCTAAATCCCCAGCCCTGAGAACAGGATTTGGATTGGGCTTCTTGGGCCTGGTAATAGTCTTATTTTTAATCTAGGTGGTGGTGATACGGATGTTAGCTTTAAGTTTATTTCTCTCTAAATGCATAATATTTCAAATGTTAATTTAAAAATAAAAGATCAAATTATAGGGTCCTTTGTCTCACCACCATTGAGGGAGCCTTGGTCCAGAGGAACCCAGGTTCCTGGCCCATTCCCCTACACTGCAGGATGGGCAGCCAGTACAGGAAGCACCTGGGACATGGAAACTGGTTCACCCAGAGGAACCAAGGGTAAATCAACTGTAACAAGGGGAAACACTTTGCATACAAACTCCTAATTTATGACTGGTTCTGTTATATAACCATAGACTTTGCTCTTATGGTCTAAAGTACAAAATCAATAGTTACCACAGTTTGTCAGTTTCTAAATTGTGCTTGATGTGATAGTTATTAATAATAGTACTACTGCAGCTAGTATGTCATGTGTTGTGATCAGCTGTTCTCCCTTTTGGAACAATATTGGGAAGCTCTGGGGTAATAATCTAACCACAACCCTACACCAAAAGACTGGGGACTAAGCCAAATAAAAAACAGCAACCCACTCTCAATTAATTGAGAAGGTAGGATCTTGGGGCAGACACAAAACAAGATATCTTCTCCTACACACAGACGATATCCCTGAAGAACAGACTTGTCCTAGATTGGTCTAGATACTAGTGATATAGCTACCTACTACCAAAACTCGTAAGGATCATCATAGAACTCAAAATACAAAAATTTTTGAAGTAGAAAATGTCAAGATGAAGGAGCAAAATGCAATCTCAGACCTCCAGCTTACCCAGAGCAAGTCCAGGAGTCTTTGACATAGAAGATATTGAAAATCACACACCTGAAATTTCTGAAATGATAGTGACTGAAGTAAGGAAACAACTCCATAAGGCTATAAAGGAAATCAGATGAGAAATAATCTCTCAGATACAAAAGAAATGATAACCATATTGAAAGAATTGCTCAACATATCTAAAGAAGAAACAGATAAAAAAAAAACTAGAGGAGCATAGGAAAATGATGGAAACCCTGAATGAACAGTGTAGGAAAGAATTAGAATGCATGAAACAGATTCAAACAGATATCCAGGAATGGAAAATTCCATTGAAAGCTGGCAAAACTGCTTGAATGAAACTGAAGATACACTTTCAGATCTTGAAGACGGGATTGTAGCTAGTGATCACAAAAGGAAAAATCTTTTAAAAATAACAAAGAACCAGGAAATAACAATTCAACAGCTGCAAGATGATGCAAAGAAAAACAATACAAGACTGATAGGTGTAAACGAAAAGCAGGAGTCAACATAAATGACATGAAAAGACTATCTGCAGAAGAATAGCAGAAAATTCCCCAAACATGAGAAAAGAATCTGACATACAGTTAAGTGAGGCATATACAAATCCAATTATCCATAACCAAAATAAATCTTCACTCAGACATATAACAATCAAGATCCCAGAAAATCAGCACACCAACAGACTATTAAAAGCTGTTACAGAAAAGAAATAGATTATCTACAAAGGAAAGCCCAGCCAAAACACAGTAGACTTCTCAGCACAAACAGTTAAGTAAAGAAGAGCTTGGAGTAAAATATTTCAAGTCCTGAAAGAAAACAACTTCCAACCCAGGTTGATGGACTCTGCAAAACTATCTTTCAAAATTAAGGGACAAATAAGATACTTCCATGACAAGGAACAATTGAAGAAGTTAATGACCACCAAACCAACCTGACAAAGAAAATTGAAAGTTATTCTAGAAAGAGATAAAAATGACCACAATTTCAAGCACAACAACAGAAATCACCAAACAGGGAAAGCAATTAAACAGAGGAAAGGAATTAACCAACAACAGGAAAATACCATGGCAAAGATAAGCCAGTAAATAGGAGTTAAAACCATCAATGTAAATGGCATCAATTCATCAATCAAAAGAAACAGACTGGCAGAGTGGATCAAGAGAAAAATCCAGCAATATTCTGCACACTAGAAACACGTTTAACTCAAAAGGAAACTCATAGCTTGAAATTCAAAGGAAAGAAAACATTCCATGGGACAGGAAATCAGAATAAAGCAGAAGTAGCTATTCTGTTTGCAGACAATGTGAACTTCAAACCTAGAATCATCAAAAAAGGTAAAGAAGGTTAGTGAAAACTTCAAGAGGAAGAGATAACATCATAGATATATATGCACCAAATATAGGAACACCCAGCTATATACAACCAATATTAATAGACAGGAAAAATCAAATAAGCAATAACACAATTGTACTGGGGGACTTCAACATCCCATTGTCACAGAGTGATAGATGAACTACACAAAAAAACCAGCAAGTAAATATCAGAACTGGAGCAAACCTGTGAACAAATGGACTTAGTTGATGTTTTCAGAATGTTACACCCAACATCAACAGAATACACATTCTTCTCAGCTGTATGGGGGGTGTTCTAAAAAATAAACCATATACAAGCCTGCAGAACATCCTTAAGTAAATGCAAAGTAACTGAAATTATCCCCTGCATATTATCTGACCATAGTGCAGTGAAATTAGAAATTTTTTTTTTTAATTTTAAAGATAAAAGGAGGGAAACATTAACAGACATACAACATTTTACAACATATCACAAGCACAATACAGACAATACAGTTACAAACAAAGTGGTAGGGAATTAACAATGGTGGTTGTATTACATAT